TCATAAGCACAGTCAAACAAAAGCACGTTAAAACAAACACTGGTACAGTTGGTTATAATAATAATTGTTGTTATTAAACCAGTCGTGTTATCGTGATAAATGTGAGTCACTACACGTGTTCAACATCTACTGCAATGGTTAGCAGATTAAATCAGACGATTCTCGATTTATTGATTGCCTATCAAATATATCTTCGAACCTCCTCGTTCCTGTCTTTTGATTTTACTCGGTGGGTACGCTTCATATTAGAATCTGTCACTGATTAATGCGTTGTCAAACTCCAAATACTTGTAGCATCTTCATACTGACTATTGTCACGTCAGATGACTTTATCGTACCCTGTAATAACGGTTAAGTTCTCAAGGAGCTTTGTTATTTGTATTCTTATCAAGAAACTACGTTATGCCGTGAATTTAGTTATGGCTGCAGTTTTTACTAACCATGTCAGTGTAGCGTGGCGTCGAGTTGAGATCAACTGTGAACACCGCTACCAAGAAACACGTGCCAAGCGAATCAGAAGGCGTAAGAAGCTCGTTCCAAATGACTCCATAAAATCCCCGAGAAGCCGAATACCAGAAGACAGTTAATGGACCAAGTCGAGGTTTATTAGCTGGCGATCTCGTGGCATCGAAAGGATACCGAGATCGTGCCAGGATACAAGCTTGGTTACAGAACGTAACCGAATTCGCGCGAAGTCACAATCAAAAGTGTGAGTATCAGAATGGAAGCACAAAATAGCTGTCATAAGCACAGTCAAACAAAAGCACGTTAAAACAAACACTGGTACAGTTGGTTATAATAATAATTGTTGTTATTAAACCAGTCGTGTTATCGTGATAAATGTGAGTCACTACAGGAGCCCCCCGCTAGAAAGGGTTTACGCTTTCGATAAATAGCGGTTTGAATCGTGGGACTGATCGGCTGACGAGCGATTGTAGGACGGAAGAATTGGCGAACAGGAAAGCGATCGTTGATCGTCGAGTTGCCAACGAAGGTCGTTATCGGAGAACGGTACCAGGAGCGATGTGTTGTATTTATTGCTTGAGTTGGCATGCTACACCAGAGTGGTTTGTATCCAGAATCTGAAGAGGGCGTTCGTAGAGGTGCGCACCAGAAACGCTGCAGACGTAGGACGGAACCACGTTGAGCCGATGAACCAGAAGCGACCGTTACGACCAAGTTCGTGACCAAGCGTGTGCCAAGCGTTCGAAACCAATATATCGACTGAGTACGTTGACAAGAGCGTGGGTGGCCAATCCAGCTTTCGCCAAAGTTGACTGAAGTCGACGTTCACTTTATTCTCACAAGGACTTCTATTAATAATAAGTTACTTGTTTTAAATTTGGTTAAAAAGATACCAAAGACTTAGGCTTAACATTATCAACGTAAGGATTGTAAGTGGAAACCTGGTGTGGATTTTTGTTGACTATTCCTTTTTGAATGTACTTATTTCTGAGTAAATATTTAGATCCAATGTTATTTTGTAGGAAATACAAAACATTTGAGACTCAACATCTAGTTCACATTCCGTGACATTTTTTTCATTTCGTGTATATATTACCAATGGAAACACCGTTGCTCCCATAGTCTTCTTATAATTAATTCGACCCATAAGGACGCGATATGCTAGTCGGTGGATGGACACATGAAATGAGGATCCCTAACGTCTCCGTGTTTAATCTCTTTATTTCCTAACGAAATGCCCTACGACATCCTGCGATACCTCGATTACACTGATGGAATAACGATAACATAAGGGTACCCTATACGGTAAAGTACAACGGTCTATGCTCTCTTAGTTTCTCTGAACATACGAATATAGTCCCATTAAACATGTTACGACCCCCGTTATTGCGTTCACGGTAAATAAGTATACGTTTACTGAATATAATATACAGCCTGGTTTTCGAAATTTAAGTCATTCCAATTTGCAGACTAGAACTGAATGCTATTTTTGTCAGTTGGTTAGAATCCACACCGTAGCACATCACTGGAACTTCCATAGCCCAACAAACCATAGATCTGTAAAGGTATTGAATCCTGACCACACTATCCTCAAAGCTGAATGAAGACAACTGGGAAAACAGATACTCAACATTTAACGCAAAGAAAAAACCAAACAATGCGAAAAGGCGGGAAGGATGAACTCAACCAACGAAAATGCATGGCATGGCCAGGCCTTGCAGGCGTGAACATTCTTATTCAACAAAACTTTTATTCACATTAAATATATTGTTTTATCTCCAACTTAAATGTTTTCTCCATCATATATTGGTGATTGTTACGATACGAGTCAGTGTATACAATGACGTGACTTCCACGCAAGATCTTATAAATTAGGCAGTAACATCATGACAATCTTAGGATTAAGTCTGTTATAAAAGTAAACCATAACTCTACAGATCGATGGAAAAACGTTTGACAACTTTACTGACGTAGTGGACGGCAATGGTCTTTCTAAAATCCTCTTCGATATATTTAACAAACTGCTCTGGATCACTACTATTTTTTTCGCCAATATGACAACCTGTAAATGATCATCACTTAATTTCCTGAAGCACGCATCGTTTGTCAGTTACTTTTATTTTAAGGGTAACTTTGGACCATTTTAGATAAAGCTATTATTATGTATCAGATGAGATCATACGGAAAACGAAACACGGCTCGACAACCGGTACTCATCGGTCTGTAAAGAAGTGAGTATATAACAGTCACTCATCATTTTACTCTCTGACTATGGCCCTCCGACTTCCCTTTGTGGTCAAAACAATTAAAATACACAATACATCGGTAGCGGATTTGAGTTTTCATCGTTCAGCTTGTTTTCACGCATGACGACATGTGTCTAAGTAGTTTAATAATGTTATATGGTATATTTTCAATGGACAATAAACGGATAGCATCTCCGACTTCGTTCAAGGTTGTCAGGTGCACAAGTTTCATAATGCTCTGAAATATATCAAAGGTACCCAAAACAACTGTACACTCAGCATCTGAGAGTTATCAAATATATTGAAAAGAATAACAAACCGGAGCATCCTTTCTTGAATGCGGTTGGAAGATTCCAGGTAGCAGCTACGTTTATTTTAGCAAAAATGATCATTCCCGAGTTTGATATTTACAAAATCATACTCGAAACAATATACACAAACATTTTATTACATACAACACGTTAGAAAGAATACACTGACATGAGTATTAGTAGTAGCAAAAGCCGAGAAAATAAAGCTGGTTCGGAAAGATTAGTGATAACGCTTAAAGTATTACATAAATGTCGAAGTTTTGATATTTTCGTGTATTTTTCTATTGACAATTTGTACATCTTGTCTTCAACATTACAGAACAGACTCGCAAACCACTTAAGATGAAAACTCCTTCACCTCCCACCTTTCAGCTCATGTCATTCCAGTCCAACAATATCGAGACCTGGTTTTGCTATGCAGAAACTTACTTCCACTAGCACGGCGTGACAGTGCCGTTTGTAAGATTACTTTCAGTGGTACAGAGATCACCATGCGACCTTAATAGTTACGTTACACCTAGTATGCTAACTAGTGAGGTTTCTGAACCTTATGACACTCAGCAAGGTTGTTAGTCAATGGACATTTGACGAGAGCCTATTTAAACAGCTCCCTTTGTCTACTCTTCCCCGAACAGGTGCACGCGGTCCTTGTGTCATTTAAAAATATCGCTCTAGACGAACTGGCCATATCTGCCAACCGGATTCTGAAAACTATAAGAACACCCAGCACCGAAGTTCGTTCTGTCAAAGGAAGACCTCAAAAATACAAAGTGACATCCCAGACCTGTTATACTCTCACTCACCATAGTTGCAGACGAATCCAAACTACACGAAGAACGACATGTCTGTAGACCAGGAGCGACAGATAGACCTGATTAGAAGCACAATATAGCAGCCCCTTGAGACATTACAGAAAACTCTGTAGTTTCTCAAGCACCTAACAGTCCGACACGAAAAACCATTCAATAAACGTCCTTGCCCGTACGATTTAACGGCAACAATAGCCGGTTTGAAAGCAGAACTAACGAACCGAAGTTTATTCGGTTTGACTCAACCCGAATATCTGCTGCATCTTTACGCTTTTCTTATTCATTCGACTTCCGATTATACAATCAGATCAACCGGTTAATTAATACTGCAATATCTAGTCAGACATTTACTAGTACGGATTCTTTGTCGTTTTCGCTTCGTGAGAATAATCAGTCTCATGGATATAAAAGGCTGTTTGTACGTAACCGGTCACAAATATTCAGTAATACACTCATCAACCAAATACCCTAATGGTTAACAGTATGCCCAAAGGAATCTAGCTTATTGACATACAGCTGACGATTGGTTTCACATCTTGAGTTTATTGAAACCAACAAAAATGAAGCCCAGGAGATCCTAAATATCCGTATCATTATCCACTATTCATGATGAAAATGTTCTCAAACATTGGAAGAGCTGGATTGGTTCGCTAATTCAAACGTCAGTTTTGCGGGTCAATTACATTCCTTTAGACTTTTGTGCACACGACGACTTACCGACAATTCTGTCCATTTTTCGAACAGCATTGTTTCAAATATCTGGAAATCAGATAAATGTAGATACCATGAGCACCAGGAATTGTGTAATGATCAACTCTAGACATAGTCTATTCATATCGACCCTAGTGGTTGTTTTACTTGTGTTTATCAGAGGTCCAGTCTGAATTTAATAAGAAACGCAACAAAGTTAGGGAATATGTAAACGTCAACGAAGAGCGAATTCAGCACTAAGGCGAAGCAGACATCCAGCGCTTTCTGTTTATCTCAAGTCAGGGTGAAAATCATTTGCATTACTTTATAGTACGCTGCCTATGAAGGATCTGTCACCACCAAGATTTCAGAATTTGTTTTAAACTTCAAGCGAACAAGGCTCATCCTGCGACTCTGGAAAGGAGGCTCTAAAATATCGAACTTTACCAAACTAGTTTGACGTAAATAAAGCACATGAATCACACAAATAGGACTAATGAATATACTCCAGTGAAGAATATCGAGGAACAAAAACAGAGCAGTCTAAAAAGTAACAATCGAAATAACTGCAATATAAATGGTGAATATTCTAGTTTGGGAAAGTAAATTCGTCAGAAAAAAAGGCAGGAAGTAGCATCTAAGTATAACACTAATTTTTTTACTCGACATTATTTCGACCATTTTATATATCCTACGCTAAGACTGTCAGTATCGAAGGTTTCTTATGGATTTAAACACGTCACTAAAATATACTTTTTAGCTGTTCAGTAGAATATTTAGGTCGTCAAATAGAAGGCTTAAATAAATCGTTATCTCGAAAGAAATTGAAGATCATGTAACAGATTGTTCAAAAAATTAGATAGCTATCATTTTCAACATGTACTTCACAAGGGATATGGAATTTAGAGAAAATATCATTTAAAGTATAGAAAATTGTTTCTCTGGATTTTACCGTAAGAAAATTATATCACGTTATTTTCTTGTTTCGAATCTGAAAAATTTTAATGAATATATCCATTAGTTAGTTACTTTGAATTAAAAACTTTACAGCAGTTTCGAAGTATTTCGATGTTTTTTTGGTGGAAAGATGACGTGCTTTGTCAAAGTAGACACAAACGATGGCATTTGCTTCTTACCGCAGAATGATGGATTGGCTGCAGTTGACTCGTATTCAAAAGCAACCTCACAGTTCACACGTGTCATGATACTCAACAAATCTAAAGTATTTCCATACCGAAGCAAGACATCAGATAAGGCTCGTATGAACCAAGAACCGTTGACGGAGTTACGAAAAGCGTAATAACCTTAGATGAAAAAAAAACAGCTAGGTTTAAAGAATTTAATAACTAGATGAAATCCTAATTTATAATCAAAAGACAATATATACTGTTATTTAGACTAAGAGTTTAGTAATGATTCAATAAATTAGAGAATGATTTGAATCAAGAAACTTATAAACAATTAAAGTGACTGATGTAGATGCCGTCACCGAAACAAACATTCATGATCGAAAAAAGTCCTCAAACAAGAAGTTATAGCTCAGATGGGTGATTTAGGCGGAGTTTCGTTCTCTGAACTGGATGGTTTGGTCACGAAGCCTTCATTGTTCTTCTGAACAATATCATCAGCATGTCGTGACATGTTGCAGGTCAACAATAACCAGTCTAGTTTGAGGTCTACAGGACAAGCTGTGAGTCATATGTGGAGAAATTCGAACACTTCACCTCTACCTGAAGTTTGTGCTGATGATATTTCTCAGAGGAACAATGAAAGTTCCTCGACCAAACCATCCAGCTCAGCGTTTATTATGTCAATGAAGTCACTATTTTGAAACAGTGCAACCAAAAATGACTTTTTTACACTTTTCTCTTGGGAACTTAATTTGTTCCCTGCGCCAATTTAATTATAAACAATTGAAGCCGAAAATATCGAGTATCATGTGACCGCTTTATAATTGAGTACAGTTCTCCCGTTATAAAATGCGAAGAATAATAATTCATAATTTTATTCATTTATATTTGACTACGAACAAACATAAAATAGATTGCAGTAACAATGGTGAATATAAACATGACACTTTTGCTGATGAAACGTTTACTGAGTTACACTTTAACTGGGTATAATTGAAAATCATTTAGAATCAAATCTTATCGCACAAATAATCTCATCAAATGACTTAATCAGACAAATCAGATTGGGTTATACTGATTTTTAATTAGACTTATCGACCTAACTCCTGTTTATCAATTCCCACTGAACGGCAATATAACAAGGATGATGATTTGTACCATGTATCGAAAATATTGTAAAATTCTAGAATTAAGAGGGAAAGATAGTGAACAAAACGATGATTTAACAGTTATGTTCTACCTTCAACCACTTAGTAGCCGGATCGAGTCCGACTTAACCTACCTTGATTTAGGTAGCTGTGTAGTACCACTAGCCTTCATTTATAACGTGTCGCTCAAAGGCAAGTACATGAAGTTACATTGTTAAGTGACATAATCGACTCAGTGTTAGTAGGTCGTAGGTTAGAATCCTACTCAATCTGTTTTAGTGTAGATAATCGAGTAGCATCGCCATACTTCATACAAACACTACAGAAAGAAGTTTGATAAACAAACCTACTTTTATTTAATGACTTACATTTATCTGAATTGAAATTAATTACAAAAAAGGTGGAAAACAAACCATGAATGTAAACAGATATTTATATCCACAGTCATGCCCAGTAAATAACACCACATGAAACAAGAAAAAAGTAACTTAAAGTTATACTACAAAATGTTAGGGTTCTACTCTCACATTAATATTATTGTTTCTGCGAAGTTTGTGTCCAAAAATTAACAATTACATCCTCCTTATTAGTGGATACAAGAATCAGAAGTATTAGCTATTATCTGACTCATCTTTTAACATACAGACTCCCTTATTTATTTACCAAAAGGGTAACGATTTGAAGTGAATAATATGAAACAACTCCATTTCATCAGGTTATTAACAGCTGCTTAGATCCTGTAATATTTGAAAGTAAAATTGCAAATAGGACCTAACATTCTTATAGAAGCGAAGTCGATTACAACTTCATGTAAACACATCTTAGTATGGTGTCACAAAAATCCAAATACCGATAACAAGATGCTGCAAATAAATATGATATCTAAAGATGGTGCTGGAACAGTGATTAAGGTATCAACGAAGGATCACTGGGTTGATATCCAGTGGTGACGTAACGAAACAATCGTATAAAAGTTACGGATAATTAATAACAACATGACTCAGGCTCAACCAGTTAAAAATAAAGAACTGAAAAAGAATTGAAGTGATTCAGTTAAATAGGGGTTGCATTATCACGTATACTGAGTGTTATTTCCCATTTCAGGCTATCATTTTCTGTAAAACCGAATAGAGAGAGAATGTATTATTCATAGATTATTGTTCATTTTAATCCAGTCAGCATACATACACACAACAGAATCGATATGAAAAGTAAAAGATACAATATCACACTATATATCACAATACCAATAGTCCTTCTTACAGAACTTTTGAAAATCATTGAACGTGATTCGATTCCCCTACTTGACTCTAACGATGACAATACATCAGTAAAAATAAGTTGTACAACTGATTGATCACTGAGCAATGACCAAGGGTTCGGATCCCATATGAAGTACCAGTTCCCTTAAGATTTCAGGTACACCTTGTTGGTGAGTGAAAATTGAGAGAAACCTAGATCCAGGTCTTTCTGCCAACCACCTAAGGCCAGTTATGTTATTGTCTCCTGCATCACTAGGATGTCACGCCTAGTGAGTGGGGATAAAAGGAACTATTGGACTGTTTAATAGGTGAAGAACAAATTAATTCTGTCAAACTATGAATGATAAATGAAAATAAGAAAATCGATATATCATGGTGTTCTATATGGGGGAAGTAAATTCGTTTGAACAACTAGCTTTTTATTTCCTAAGCATTATTTTTAGAAAAAAGACCGCCCATTTTGTCAAAATATTAGGAAATTTTTTATTTGATAAATAATCTAGTAAATAATACTGTTTCTGTGTTCTGATTAGACAGTTTAATTGTAGAGTACTAACTATCGTTTTAGACAATATGGTCAGTGTCCATTTGATGTAGAAGTGTGCTTTTCAGTAGTAATACAGGCATTAAATCAGTTTAATGAAAAATTAGGAAAGACTGTATTACTTCCTGTCATAATAAACAGAACAAGCCCAGGGACGTTAGAAATAAAATTATTTAGGGAAGCAAATAATAATGATGATAAATCACAACATCTGGGGTCTGAAATCACACAAGAAAATTTGTGCACCAACACCATTTAGGAGAGCCAGAAGTCACTCCAACAATCACGTTATATAAAAAACTTAGGAAATCCACCTTTTGTTAGTATTTCGTAAAATTGATTACCCTCACAACTTCCTCAACAGGTTCCATTCAGGTCGATTGCTAAAGCGGATCGTTTAACAATATATGGAAAAAATAATCATAAGGCTTTTGCAATCCCTGGGAATCAATGTCACTCAAAATCCCAAAACAACATTCTGTCACGAGTAGTGCAGATGGGAAAAACCAATACCAAAGGAAAAAAAAGTTACATGGTCAAAAAAATAGACTGTACCAAATACCTGAAGCACTATATTGGACAAAGTGCGCACCGACTTCGCCTACACATAAACGAAAACACTAGAAGTGAGACGATATAGTGTCAACACTGGTATTAGTGTACACAAGTAATTACGGAAAATTTTTGAATTAGTCAACAGTCCAAATCCTAAGAATTCTCGAGAGGTTTTAGAGACAAGAGATTCAGATCAACGGGCAATTCGTAAACATATAAACACAAATCCGATCTATAAATCCACCAAAAAAGGTTAATCAATCACATAGTCATGAACCAACTAAACAGAAAAGTTAGCGTGAATGTAAGGTCAAACAAAGACAGCAAAAAACCTGGGGGGGAGACGATTACAAACAAGGTTATTAAAATGAACTGAATCGATGCTTGAGGCAGAACTGAAAATAACGACAGAGCCTAGAGCTATCACGCCAATAGGACAAAAAATCTATTTGATCTATTTTGATAAGCAGTTTAAATAGATTTGCTATGGAAATTTTTTTTAGCATATACAACGAACATGATATTGTAATTTCATTACCATGTCACGCCTGCATGGGTTATTCTAGCTTACGGACAGACTGATTTATCAGTTCTTCTTGAGTCATATTTTGACCTTGTCAATCATTCGCTTACCTTGACTGTGTTTTGTATGTGCCTATATGTGTGTCGTTAACCCTATTCATCACATGTCTCTAGTTTATTTTTGTCTGGCTATAAATATCGAGTCATACTTGATCTCCTGTCTGTTTCTCCGCTTCGATTTTTATCCTGATTGTATGTTTGAATCAACGGATGTATAAAATATACGTACCCAAAAGTCATCCTCGTATTCAGCTTATTCCGTTATTCAGTAACGCGGATTAAGTCAATACTTATGTATCAGGGTAGCCAGGATGCATGTTTCGTTAACATCATTATAAGGTCGAACCGCAGTCAGATCAGCGGATCACAAAAATATTAATACATTTTAATCTTCATTATCTTACCAATTTCTGTACAGATGGTCTAAAATCCTCAGAAGAATCATTTATATTCTGCTTTTAGCAATTAAGCACATAGCTGAGAAAAAAGCTTTACCGATATACGTGTGAGTCAGTCAGCTACAACGTAGGACCAGGTACATAAATGCATCGGTCCAAGTTGCCACACTTCATTAGCACAAGATGGACACCGAATTCATAGAAGTCGTTACTTCGATGGTAGTAATATATAAAAGGAAGATTGTGTGACGAATAAAAATATTACCTAGCTAACCAAGCAGACACAAGTGGATTGATATTCTATTCGGAATTTAAAAGTTTTGTCCCTATATTACTTAACCTTGGCCTCAATTCCACTGCACAACATCGGAAAGATTAACCAACAGAAAATAACATAGATCAGTATAAACTTGAAAAATACCTGGTTGGACTGAATAGGCGATGAAAAGATCTGCCTCAACTGGAATCCGTCTTGTTGTTGTCGCAGCATCCGCAGATTTACTATTAGATAAAGGTCCATCACAAACAAATACGCCGTCATCAAGTGCCATTCCACGGCATGCCTAAAAAGATAAACAAATAACTAGATTTAAACATCATCCAAGTAGTGAATTACACTGACTAAACGGAACTAAAGACCGAAAAAGTGGTAATTGTAGCTAATAATTAGTCAAACCCGATGCAGAATACGGGAAAGTTATATCTATCTCAGCAAACTGATAGGAAGTTAACACAATGAAAGGACAAAAAAATGGAAAAAATGACACAATGGTGGAAAGTTTGACATAGAAAATATAGTTCAAAAGAAACGAATAAAATCATAGAATGGTACCACTGCAACCAATTTTGAGGTATAAAATTAACGATAGGTGGTAAATATCGCGCAAGCCACAACTAATAATACCACATTACCTGCATAGCTCGGACCACTAGTCTATTTCTTGTTTACTAACTTAAGACGACAGATATTACTTATCGTATCGAGACACTAACTTTGAAGCTCAGATTGGAAATAAACATTTATTAGAATCCGGAATCGGCTAATATTTTTAACATACGATGAACTTCTTGAATTCATAATTAAAAACCAATAACTAGTGCAAATAATTAATTGATAGTCACATCTGAGCAACTCTATCAAAAGAAGTCAACCAGTTTGTTTATTTATTTTAAAACATAAACATTGATACAAGGGAGTACCAAACACATGCACTACACAATAACAATGGGTTGTGAAGAGATAATGTAAAGTGTGTATAATAAGAGAACAAGAATGAAAATAAATCAGTGTGAGAGTTGAATAATAAAAATAATAATAATAAAGAGATAGTTCAGTTAGTAAAAATATATCCAGAAAGAATCCTTTCAATTAAAGTAGTTACGTTCATTTTTTATGAAGAAAGTAAAAGAAAATTACAGAACGATCGTCACTGGCTTCTATTCTGAGCCATTTCGATTTGGTATAGAATTAAAAACGAAGAACATTTTATTCCAAAGAAGATTACAGCGTATAGCTACTATTAAAGTTTAGAGAAAGATTAGAAACAATAAGCCAGGCTGTTAGCGGGACATAGATTGGATTAAAGCATGCTTAATGCACGATTGCTTTGGTGCACGTTGATTGGCTAATTCTTATCCAATGAGCACTACTCGATACTTGGAGAACACTCTAGAAATCTTCTCATGTAAAAACTATAAATATACTAACGTTTTTCCTATTGTACTTCTTACTTCCATCTAACCTTGTTATTTGGAATATAATCTCTTTCCTATTCAACCGTGTTCTGATTTGGGGATTTGTCGAGTGAATTGGTGTCCGAGGATACTAAGCAATAGGAATAGCTGGGTTGTAATAAGAGAGAAATATAACACAGGCAAATACAGAAACAACCAGAACATCTCTGAATGGAAACCAAAGTTGGAAGAATTTAAAACGAAATAATGTACTTCTTGTACAAAGATAAACTAAAGCAGAATGAGAAAAGTATTAGTTGTGTCCGAACTAACAGACTGGATTTGATCTAGTTCTCTGATACTTGATTTAATAAGAGATTATTATTAACTATATTACAATTTACTTTCAATCATCGACCAGTGGGCTCGACTGTCAGCTACATAACAAACAGATATCTGTCCCCAATTTACTGAAGAAAAAACATAATCATGTCTTCAAATCTATCGGAAATGAATAGGTGTTTGCTGGTTATTTATTGACATTGTATGTACAAATGACTTAAAACGTCACTATGATCTCAAAAAAACGCGTAGTTCTTACCTATAACAGACATGAACATGAAATGCAGCAATATCTCTTAACTGAAAGGTGATAAATTCTACCTAACACAATTCTTTTTTAACAGGCTTACTTTTATTGATCCGGGAGAGCCTTCCAAATTGCTGCAGAAATGAGGAGATACAATCTAAAGGTGCTTGGGATCAGTGAAACATATTGGACGCAAGTTGGACAACGACTAACTTCAGGAGAACTTCTGTTATACTCCGGCCATGAAGAAGAAAATGCTCCACATACACAAGGAGTTGCATTGATGCTGTCCAAAGAAGCACAAAATGCACTTATAGGATGGGAATCTCATGGACCAAGGATCATCAAAGCCTCCTTCAAAACAAAGAAAGAGGGCATTTCAATGAACATCATCCAATGCTATGCGCCTACCAACGACTACAATGAAGACGCTAAAGATCAATTCTACAATAGGCTGCAGTCAATCGTCGAGAAGTGCCCAACAAAGGACCTGACCATTCTGATGGGAGATTTCAACGCCAAGGTTGGAACGGACAACACTGGATATGAAGACATCATGGGACGACACGGACTGGGAGAAAGAAACGAAAATGGTGAGAGATTTGCAAACCTATGTGCCTTCAATAAACTGGTCATAGGCGGCACCATATTCCCACATAAACGCATACACAAAACCACATGGACTTCCCTGGATCACACTACACAAAATCAAATCGACCATATCTGCATCAACAAAAAGTTCAGGAGGACGATGGAAGACGTAAGAACCAAGAGAGGAGCTGATATAGCATCAGATCACCACTTGCTGGTCGCCAAGATGAAATTGAAACTCAAGAAGCACTGTACAATGGGGCGGAAAATATCACAAAAGTTCAATACGGCCTTTCTTCGGGATACTGACAAACTCAACAGATTCAAGATAGTCCTCAGCAATAAGTTCTAGGCCTTTCATAATCTACTCAATGGAGAAGGAACTACTATGGGGAGCAACTGGAAGGGGATCAAAGAGGCAATCACTCCAACATGCCATGAGGTTCTGGGCCACAAGAAGCACCACCACAAGGAATGGATCACTGTTGATACACTGGATAAGATTTAAGAAAGGAGGAACAAGAAAGCAGCAATCAATACCAGACGAACAAGAGCAGAGAAAGCCAAGGTACAAGCTGAATACACAGAAGTAAACAAGCAAGTGAAGAGGAGCATCAGAACTGACAAACGTTAATATGTGGAAGATTTAGCAACGACAGCTAAAGCCGAAACAAACGTCCTGGAAGGAAATATGGAAGTAATTATGGTTTAGAGCTTCAAAATGATCGAAGAACGAGGTATTTTCGCAGTTCAGAGAACTGCAACTAAGAAGGTACCCGAAATCGCCTTACGACGAGAGACTGGAATAACTAAATCTATTTCCTTTGTAATACAGGAACACAAGAAATGACTTGGTCACAGTTTAAAATCACTTGATCAGAAATTTGCTTTTTATATGCCCTCACCTTATCTTTCGAAATAAAGAATTTGAGAGGACACTTCGGAACACTGTGTAGTATGTTTTAACAAGGGTGAAATATGTCAGTTATAATGTTGGCCTACTTGGGAACCCACCTACTGATCATTGAGGAACAATCAATTGAGTGGAATTCATCACTCTACATCAACTTCATTGACTACGAAAAAGCATTTGACAGTGTGGACAGAACAACACTATGGAAACTTCTTCGACACTACGGCGTGCCTCAGAAGATAGTCAATATCATACAGAACTCATATGATGGATTACACTGCAAAATCGTGCATGTAGGAGAGTTGACAAAGTCGTTCGAAGGAAAGACCGGTGTCAGGCAAGGTTGCTTTCTCCTGGCGATCGACTGGATCATGAAGACGTCAACATCTGAAGGGCAACACGGGATACAGTGGACATCTAGGATGCAGCTAGACGATCTAGACTTCGCAGATGATCTGGACCTTCTATCCCAAACGCAACAACAAATGCGGGAGAAGACGACCAGTGTAGCAGCAGTAGGTCTCAACATACACAAAGGGAAAAGCAAAATTTCCCGATACAACACAACATGCAACAACCGAGTCACACTTGACGGAGAAGATTTGGAAGATGTAAAAACCTTTACATATTTGGGCAGCATCATCGATTAACACGGTGGATCTGATGCAGATATGAAGGCGCGGATCGGCAAAGCAAGAACAGCATATTTACAACTTGGAAACATCTGGGACTCAAAGCAACTGTCAAATAACACCAAGGTCAGGATTTTCAATACAAATGTCAAGACGGTTCTACTGTATGGGGCGGAAGCCTGGAGAACTACTAAAGCCATCATCCAGACGATACAGGTGTTTATTAACAGTTGTCTACTCAAAATACTTCGGATCCGTTGGCCGGACACTATTAGCAACAACCAACTGTGGGAGAGAACAAACCAGATCCCAGCGGAGGAGGAAATCAGGAAGAAGCGCTGGAAGTGGATAGGACACACATTGAGGAAAGCACCAAACTGCGTCACAAGACAAGCCCTCACATGAAATCCTCAAGGCCAAAGGAAAAGAGGAAGACCAAAGAACACACTACGCCGGGAAATGGAAATAGACATGAGAAAAATGAACAAGAATTGGATGGAACTAGAAAGGAAGGCCCAGGACAGAGTGGGTTGGAGAATGCTGGTCTGCGGCCTATGCTCCATTAGGAGTAACAGGCGTAAGTAAGTAAGTAAGTACTTTTATTGATAGGAAGATACCGAAATAGAAGAAAAACACATGATATACCTGTTGTGATGGTGAAACTATTGGTTACTTAGTGACCATCTTCATTCTTTGTTAATCGTTAATCAGATAAGCAACTCTGCTATTTGTTGGATATAAATCATAGCTCTCACTGTCTAAGATAGTCAGTCAGTTTCTTTGATAATTTGTCCTCTTATGTGTATTCAATTGGAATTTGGCGGTTCGTTTAGCTATCAACAATACGACACTCGTATCTATGATGGCTAATTTAGTGCTTTGACTTAGTAAACACTCAGGAACTACATAATCAACTGACTAGCTTTGGTTTGAACATCCTGATAGCTTTAGTAAATATAAGACAATAGGAAGATTTAAACAACTAATACAAAACTGAATTTAATTCCACCCCATTGCACAAGCCAGTGGCTATCTGGACTCAGTAGCTAGGTGAATAACGCGATGGCTTTTGAAGCGAATGGTATTGAGCTTAAGTCCTGGAGTGAGCATCAACTCTGGGATACAGGTACATCCAGCTGACGAGTCCAAATACGACGAAACACATGTCCAGGATTCCACTGCTAGCCACCAAATATCTCTGCTTATAATGTCTGTGACTTAATGCAACATCGAGGCAATCCGCATAGGACGCATATATGCTAAGAGACCGGTCAATTGCGGTCCTAAACATACATTGAAAGATTCAAACGACAAGCACAAAAATGAATGAAACAAGTGTGGTTCAAAACTTACTGAACACACTTGTACTTGGTTATTGTGTCATAAAATAATAGATATGTACAACATCCTTTACAAAAGTCAGAATGGATTAAGGAATTGATACGTTCAGCATAATCTTCAACTGTAAAGTGAGAAAAAGTTCTACTCCTTTTACACTTCTGTAGTATTCTCACACGTATATATGGTTCAACACAACTTGTTCGGAGAACTAACCAATATTTTCTCTAAAACCCCCTAATTGTTTTCTAAAACCGTTACACATTAGTGTTCAGAAACTAGATTTACATAATTAAAAAGGACATACTTGGATAAAGAATAGTTTTGGCTTGCCTCTTAAATCCAAACATTGATCTCCACGAAATGGAGCGATGATACGATCCACGGGAATAGAACCATCTGTTGCGTATATTAATCCACCCTCATCACCATGAGAAAGAATTACACAAGCGAAACAATCATGGTCGCGTAGATTTTGTGTTGAGACTGGAATTACACAATTTTAATGAATATGTGCATACATAAGTCATGGATAAAAGTGTAACAGTTAATAACCTTTACTATTTTAAAATATGAGTTTACTTGTAATAGTAAAAGCTTGATTGAGTAAAATGAAAAGCGTTTTTCATTTGTTTTGCGAAACGTATCTATACTTTAGTAATCAGACGTGTTCTTATTGATATCAATAGACTTCGTGTGATGTTAAAAACTGTTACTTTATACTAAGGTTTGTATGTCACAGTAAATGAAAAGCATCACTGTTTAAACCGAAATCTTCTAACTTGATGCTAACAGCTTTATTAATGTCATGGTAAACTGAAATCTGTAGTATTACAGAAAAAAGAACATCTAACCGGTGTATATTCACCATACTATAATACACGGTATAGGGAAATTGGCAGAGAATGAGAAAAGGATTATAGTCACCGAACAAAATGTGACTTACAGGGTGAAAATAAATTTTATTTTCATATAATTATTTTCTATGTGAACACAAATATTGGTACAAAGATGCACCGAATACATACGCGCCACACAAGTCACTGCCCCTAAATGCCCTGGTAAGGCCGAGAGCGGCGTGGGCCCGCATTCCCTCTCGAAATGCTCTCACACGATCACACGTATACAGTCGCTGCCAGGAAAGTCCTACTCACTGCCTTCTCGTGGCGGGGGTGTTGTTTACGAAAATGAGAGGACGAAAAGCGAAGGTCTGGCGCTTTAACCGGATCCCAAACCACTGGTGTACATGGACTCCAGTATCCTGAGGGAACAAATGGCGTATGAACCAATCGTTGGTCAGCGGCTACCATGGGACTGCACCTCCTCACGATGTTCCACTGTCTTGTGGGTCAGACCTTTAGGTCAAAGGCTCGGGTTGTGGCCCTCTAAGATAACCACCTGCTTCGGTCTGGTCACTCGGGCAGTATCACAGCACACACACAAATGATGAACAGTCTATACTTATGGAAACTACTTTTCTTGCTTCGACTAACAATCAAATGATTCAAATGATCATTATTATTACTATTATTGTTATTATTATTACTACTATTATTAATCATTATTATTATTTACTACGTCATTTATTCACTCTCTTTTATTCCCACTCTGTGTATACTTATTTCTCGACTTATACAGCAGCTCGTCTCTGGTGGAAATTCGACTCTATCTAAACGTTCTCGAGTCACTGTCCGGTTGAAAATTGTATGTTACCACCGAATATGAGTACTGAAGCAGTTTTTCTGAAATCACGTGCACCATTCGAACTGGCTGCCTTCAACGTTCGCACACTTATGCAGGTCGGACAATAGATAGGGCTTGCTATGTACTTGGAAAGTCTTAATATCGATGTTTGTTGTCTATCCGAGACCCGTATTCAAGACTTTGGTGAAGTACTACAAATTCGCTCTCCATCTGTCGCTTCAAAAAGCTTGTTTTACGTGCATTTATCCGGGGACCCTGTGGCATCTTCGTCTGGTCTTGCTGGCGTTGGTGTCGCACTAAGCGCTAGAGTTGAGGCAGCACTAATCGATTGGATCCCCATTAACAGTCGGTTATGTGCTGTTAGATTAGAAAGTTCCATCAAAGTGAGAAGAAATCGGCGTGAGAAACGATGTATTTTCGTCATCTCCGCCTATGCCCCGACAGAGTGCAGCCCGGATGCAGTCAAGGATGAATTCTATCACCAATTATCTGTTCTTCTCCAGAAAGTGCGTTCGACAGATATTGTAGTACTAGCCGGAGACTTGAATGCTCAGGTCGGGCATCTAGGCACAGAAGAGAGTCGTTTAGGTGACCGATGGGGACTTGTTGGTCACAGAACAGATAACGGGGACCGTCTACTGCAACTGTGCACAGACCACAACCTGTTTCTGGTTAGCATTAACTTTCGGCACAGTCATCGCCGACGTTCCACCTGGCGTCCTCCCTCTGCATCTCAAGCCTGGACTCAGATTGATCACATCGCGATCAGCTACCACTGGCGTGGTTGTGTACGAGACTGCTGCTCCTTTTGGAGTACCTATCTGGGCTCTGACCATGCCCTGGTCTGCGCCAATCTTACCTTACTTTTCAGTGGACAACGAAGTGACCGCCATCAAAGGACTGACGTTAGCAATCTGGTTGCAACTTCTGTTGCTAGTGTTTATCGAACCGAGCTAGCTTCTAGGCTAGCTACCATCCCATCGAAAATTATAGATGAGCATTGGTCTTCTCTCATTACCGTGCTTGTTAGCCAATCAGGTGGTAGAATAGTTTTCTTCTCTCTACCCCGCCTCAAACTCAAGCGCACTAGCCTCAAGGTTAAACCGATCAGCCTATTGCGTCAAGGTCTTAATGTAAAGTAGACAGATCAGGGTCATAACAGTAAGGAAATCGAGAAAAGCTTGCGTAAGGACCAAGAAGATGGTGGTGACTTTCTGACTAAGGAACTGACGACGTTGTTTACAAAGGTCTGGGGACTAAAGAGTGTACCAACGTCATGGAATGAGTCGATAGTTGTCCCTATCTTTAAAAAGGGTTCACGTCGTTCCTTTAATAACTATCGGGGATAAGTCTACCACGATTCGTTGGACAGGACTGTGTCTCTGGGATTGTCTATTGAAGAACGGTGTGCCTGAGAAGTTTATTAACATCCTGAAGGCCCTATGTACAAACACCTCAGGCACAGTGAGGGCATACAATCACTTATCTCCATTGTTACATTCAAGCAATGGGGTTAGACAGGGTTGCCCAATCTCACCATTCCTCTTCAACTTTGCTTTCAACGACGTCCTGGAAACAGCTCCGATGGATGTAAGTAATGGCGGTGTGGACCTGTTGCCTGGAGAAAGACTTCTCGACCTTGAGTATGCAGATGATATTGTCTTACTGTGTGATAATGCCCAAGCCGTGCAATCCGCACTCAATCAGTTGGCAATCAATGTCCGTAGGTATGGTATGTGCTTTGCACCTTCGAGATGCAAAGTACTTCTACAAGACTCGCAGGATCCTAATCCTGTACTCACTCTGGATGGCGAGCAGATAGAAGTAGTCGAGAAGTTCGTGTATCTAGGTAGCTGCATAAGTGCTGGTTGTTGCGTGAGTGATGAGATCAATGCACGTATAGTGAAAGCCAGAGCGGCTTATGCCAATCTGGGCTATCTTTGGTGCCTTCGTGATGTCAGTCTGGCTGTAAAAGGTCGGATCTACAACGCGTCGGTGAGAGCAGTTTTGCTCTATGCTTGTGAAACCTGGCCTCTCCGAGTTGAGGATGTTAGATGACTCTGTCTTTGATCATCACTGTCTCCGAAGGATTGCTGACATCCAGTGGCAACACCATGTGAGTAATGTAGAGGTTCGGGATCGTGTGTTCGGGCGCAGAGACGTTATCAGATATGGCTCAGAATATAAGCCAGTGGCGATCTTGCTGTAACCTTCTTTGATTTTCTTCATAAAAAAGTGGTTGTATCTTTCTAAACTGAAAGATTTCTTCTGGTTGTACCTTTCCGTCTCCCCCATTATTATTACACTACCTGACACTAACCTGGTCGTTATTCTTCTTCTTCCTTTTCTTTTACGCTCCTTACCATCCTTTTTTCTCTTCCCATTGTGATTGTTTTGTGTGGCGCATATATATTTGGTGACTCCTTGTACCAATATTTATGTTTTCAAATAAATAAACATAAGTCACTTGATTTGTGTGGGCTATGATACTGCACGGGTGACCAAACTGAAGCAGATCGTTTTCTTAGGGGGCCACACCCGGAGCCTTTAACCTAAAGGTCTGATCTACAAGGTAGTGGAGCAACGTCAGGAGATGCCGGTAACTAACAATTGGTTCTTATGCCATTTGTTTCTTCAGGATTTTGGAGCCCATGTAGACCATCGGTTTGGAATCAGGGTTTTCCAACTCTTCTAAATGAACTCTCCATGGCCACCAACCGGTTAAAGCGCCGGACATTCGCTTTTCCTCCTCTCAATTTCGTAAACAATAGTAATGCCGCAAGAAACCAGCGAGTAGGGCTTCCTTGGCAGTGGCTATATACGCGTGGCCATGCGTGAGCATTAGCGGAGCAGTCTGTATTTTGATATAACTGATATAGTGAAATTGTTGTAAGGATACTCATATATATATATAAAATCGAAGTCTTTCCGCCAGTTTTTTTGCTTACATTTAAAATGGGACGAAACATTTGCTCAAGTGAAACTAGAAGGCTCTGAAAATTACTAACAGATGATACAAAATCTCTACAAAACCGCCCAAGTAAATATATTTTACACGTTATATAAACTAGACAATCCACACAACTTACTTGTTCGGATTAAAGAAAATAAACTTTCGGATGTCGGATTTGAATGCACTATGACCCTAAAGTCGAGGCTCGTAAAAGCTCTCTTAATATTTTGTATATCAACCAAAGAACCATTTCTTGGTGGCAAACAAAGTATCGGATCGAATTTATCAACTGAAAAAACAACACACAGTCCACGTTCAGCACCATTTGTGCGGTAGACATACGAAGAAGGACTCTTTTCTGAAGGTATGCTGAAAACCGGTAATAAAGAAGTACACGAAACAGAACACTTTAGTGAACTGCTCCAGGTCTTATTATTAGGTTTGTTTTGTGGGCTATCACAACTTAAACTTGATCTTATTTGTGTTGAAGAATGTTCTTCTACGAGCGACAAATTTCTAAAACATTAACAAGAAAGTGACAGAATTACGTATTAGAACTATCCACATCGTCCACCATCACCTTCTATGCTAAATCCTAAATCATGTATTCAGGAATTTAGAAAAAAACATATAGTTAGTTTTGAGGAGTTAGAAAAGAACAAATAAAGTATAAAGCAACTGTTAATTTCAAATAAAATACAAAATTAACGACAGAATACAAATACATTTCATTCTAACAGTTCACATAGAAATAAAATTCGTTTAGAACACTGATATATTGCTACGCGCAAGTTTATTTCGTCTAACGAATAAGGCCTAGATACATACATATTTTGTGAATACAACAAGGATAGTGAGAAAAATTCAACTGTTTCTAGTTGACATCATTATCACCAGTGTGACTACACAGAAGCACGGAATAGTGGGTTTATGGATTCATTATTCGAAAGTAGCCTGGTGTTATTTCGTAAGTCCAGATATCTAGTCAAAGAACTGATACATTGATATGATCAACAATGTTACAAAAGGAAGACTGGAAGTGAGAAATTACTGTACTAGACCTACGCAGTATCTTTTAAGGAACACACGTTACCATAGAACTGCCTCAAATTTGTGCTAAACAGAGTAGCGGTTCAAATTTGGAGAAGCGTGAAGAGTAACATGTGGAGAAAATAGAATAGTAAAAACGCGAAACGACTCATTAATTACATCAAATATACCTAAATAAAATAATGAAAGTAGTCAATAACGAATAGAAACAACATAGGTAGTGAACCAGAATAAACTGACAATTAGAACTAGAAGTACTAGCAAGATTTCAAATCCATTAGACGCCAAAACTCCAAGCTTTGGAGCAAAATCTATTAACTTGAGAACAGTTCGTTTAGAAATTTCGGGAAAATGAAAAAAAAACAGAGTTCAGTCAGGTATTGGTTTTTTCCAAAATAAACAAACGCGCATAAAATTTTCACGTAACTTGAGAAAATATCGAGAGGCAAAGATGGAAAATAACAAGATTTTCACTCAGTTTGGGCTTTCCCCAAAAACTACCCAAAATATCTACTGGATTTGGGAAAACGCCTTCATTTCCCCGGGCAAATCTCCATAACTGACTACATATCGTTCAATAAAATTGGTAATTACCCATACCAATTTTGGTAGACATGATGGAGGTTGCATTAGCAGACGAACAAATCCACGGTTGCTTTGTAAGTTGCAACTGCCGTTCACACTCCCAGTGGGAAAATTGCCTAGGATGCACAGAGTAGACCCTTATAAGACTGAAAGACTACTGTTGGTGTATGTCCTACCACGACAAATAGCCACTGAATATACATTGCATGGAACGGAAAGTAAGTCACATATATAACAAACATTACTGACTAGATGTTTACAGTTCAAAGTTCAATCAGTCGGTGAGAACGATATAAGGGGACTGATTAAACGAGTCGGGCTTATTCGGATGGTGTACGAATAAAGTACAAAAGTGGAGACCGAAAGAAAACGTAAGTATAAACCGTGTACATATGGTCCTATTTTAGTCTCCCCAAAACTTCTCCAGACACCAGGAGAAATCACGAATCTTCATGACGTTGTGCAAACCCTAAAACCTCCCAGAATTTCCCCGAAATCTAGAGATAAAGAAGCAAAAGCTAATCTTAACTGGGATAACTAATAGATAATTAAGCTATCAAAACGACAGAAACTGTTAGAAAGCCAGATCTTTGTCCACATTACTAATCAATCTTGGTGGTAAATTCGTCAGATATTCCGTAAAAATTGTGGGTAGAAACCGCAAACTCAGTCAACAGTTTGGGAGTTTGTCTAAAGAAGTAAGGGGATTATCCCAGGCAGTAGAAACTATGGGAAAATTCAATTATTACCTTAACAAAAACTAGATCTTAAAAGACCTCACTAGTCCTTCAAACATCCAAGAAGGGAAATAAAGGCGGACAACGCGGAAATAAATAGGACATTTCTTTTAGAAAATAAGGGGGAAATAATTATTTCTTATTAATAGGAAGACGCGCCAGTCTACTTTTTCGCTTGTCATGAGAGAACGATGCAAAGTTTCCCCACTTCTGTCCCTGAGTTTATAAAGTAGCTGAACCACCTACTTTTCGACCACATACACACCGAATTGCCCACTTTTCATCTAAATACATGGGTCCACTGTACTTTTTAGGACGTTTTCATAATATTGTCTCATGATTCGTCCAGAATCGATCAATATTGCTTTGAATAGGGGAGCTTGGATTAGAAACAATACGAGAAAAATAAGTCAAAAACACCGTGAGCACATGGGATTGACTTACATTCGACAGCAAGATCAACCTGCTCAGAACGAACATATTCAAACAGACCGCTTTGGCAGAGCTGAGGGGTCCTCGAATCATTAAAACTATTTTTCCATATATTTTTTCAGAAAGAATGGAATAGTAAGTAATTTATATACGAAGAGCTTTTGACTGTCTTTAGCATGATTGGTTTTGTGTTTTTAGTTTGTGAATTCAATTAAGAAAGAGTAATTTCAGTTTCAGTTTCAATTTCAGTTTGGGAAGGACAGGAGGCTCGATGGCCTATGTTAGTCCTGGCAATGGTGGTCTCTCAGTTGATCCAACTTTCTTTTGAAAGAGTCGACGGATGGAGCCTCAACCACGTGCTGAGGTAGTGAATTCCACTCGTTGATGATTCGATGGGAAAGTCGATAGTCAGCTGACAAGTAATTTGTTCTCGGCTTATGAACTTTTTTGGAGTGTCCTCGTAAATTCTCTGTTTTGAAAGACAAGAAAAATGAGGGCATGTTAGGTGCAAATTTATCACTAAGCAATTTGTAGACTGTAATCAAGTCGCCTCTAGTTCTGCGATATGACAACGGGAAAAGGTTCAGCTTGGCCGGTCGAGATTCATACGGAAGCTTCGCTATTGCGGGAACCAGCTTAGTCGCCATTCTCTGAACCTTTTCCAGAAGCTCTCTGTCTTTTTTAAAGCAGGGGCTAGCCGCTTGTATGCAGTACTCAAGTTTAGGACGAACGAACACTGTATACAAAGTCAATGCTAATTGTTTAAGACCATAGTCACACCTACACCATCATGCTCACATCTCTATCACAACTTATGAGGCAGAGATACTTACAAATTATTGTCAGTGACGAGGTTCATAAGGTATTAAGATGGATTTATGGTTGTTTAGTTGAATCACAAAAATGCATTGACTAGAGCATTTTTATAAAAGCGTACTCAGTCAATTACATTGCATCAGGATATCTGTTCATTGTTCGTTGATTACCTGAACCCCGAGGCCATCCAGATAGTAGGTGTGAATTCGCTGTTGGGACAAATAGTAGTTTTATTTTATAGCCCTACATCATGCACTTGTAGTGGCATTGGACAATAGCCACACAATCCACAAAGCTGTGAACACGAGACTACTACTTCCACGTAAGATCTTATAGATTAGGCGGTTATATCATGACAAATCTACAATTTTGGGATTAGGTCTATTATTAGAGCAGTACTAATATCACAGTAGACCATAATTCTACATTGGTGAGCCCAACTAAAGATACGCAACCTATTATTGTTAATCCTTATTTCCACCTTAACCTTCTCAATCGGATTTTATTTTTGTAAACCCACTATTCTAATAGCCCTTTGATTAATGGTCATATTTATTATCGTAATGTTATATCTATTAGTTCACATAACTTACTAGCTCGATCGATAATAAAAACTGGTCGTTTATATTAACTCTTTAGCTTTGATGATTTGTTAACAAGCTGTAATAGCATTTACATGCTTCAGCGACATAGTCTTGTTTAAACATCAAGCTCTAGCAAATATGACCTGTAAAAAGCGTAAATATACATTGACTAACAATGCGATCAAGGACTAAATAGTTATCTGGATCTAATTCTTAGTGTTCCTCCACTTAACACCTCATCCTGTTTTAAACGATGCACTATCTTGTAATATCTTTTCTTCCGACCACTGCCTGCCTAATTTCAAATTTTCGAGTTCCATTGCCAAACAACGAGGATGACTACTCCAAAAACATACGGTAAGTTTCAGCTATAAGTTTTCTGCAATCATTTTTAGATGGTTCGTTCAATGACAACCATACAATTATCTGGATTCATTCGGTTGTTCTAATCCGAGCGAGTGGCAAAAACGTCAACAGCATCAAGCACCCTGGGATTAATTGCCATACTGCATGTTTTATTCTGGATACTTTTGGATCAATAGTACTCACGAATGGCGTTAGATATGTCGTCCACTGAATAATCTGATTTTCGAAAATAACCCAGGCGAGTTCAACTATTTTACTTAATGATTTTTTTACTTAACATGTATATGTTTTCCCGTTCCTTTTGCCATATATTTGTAAGTGTCACTAGGCTAAATGCAGTAACTTTTTATGGAATGTTTATAACGCGTCATATTAGTGCCTGAAGTTTCACAAGCATTCTTAACTTTAAATTTATTTATCTGGTCATGTTCAGTATTTTTAAATTGTCATATACATCAACAACCTGCTTGTTAACCTGGCCCGTACATACGTTACACTATATCTTCATGTCTTCTAAATTTAGAAATGACCTGAATCGCCTTTAACATTTATCAATAAACCCATCATAGTCGTTGTTGCTAATCGTATTTGGGTTTATGGATTGGTTTATCATAGTAGCAGCCTAAAATGCAAACATACTTTAGATAATAAGATTACAAATTTAGGTACTATCAACTGCACTAGTAAAATAACTAAATCCTCAGGTAGTTGTTGGCTAAACAAACGTTTAAAATCACAGCTCCGTAGCCTACTAGAATTAACATAACGAATATTTCTGAATTGAAATTTATAATTAAATTAGGCGTCTCGGATTCTTTAACGTTACAAATTTCTGATAATTTCGAATCACCTAAAGCAACAATACCTATTTTTCCACTGACTAATCCTCATTCAACACTATAACTAGTTAAACATAATAGTTTCAAGATATCGTCATAAAGCATTGTCATGACTTGACAATCACGTAATATGATTGATAAAATTAATGAAACTAGTAACGAAATCGGTCAACAAATTGACCTATAATTACCATTAAATGGTGTTGTTTTCTTGGTATCTTCATCCATCACAGATGATTACAGTATGTTTCTCTATTAGTTGCTCATTCAGTAAATATCTCAAAACCTTGTCAGTCTAATTGATGGTTTAGCGACACAATCATGCATGCAAATAATCAGTACAAGCAGTCGAGCAAATCTCCTGCAAACTGAAAACATTAATGTCGAATTTACCCCATTATCATAGACATGAGTTGGGAGTGTACTCCCCTTGGTTACAACTTATGTACTCCCTGATAATCACATGAGCATCACTCACGGTTAATCATCTTGTAAAAACGTATTTGGCCGAGTACATCTTACAGCACCACGTCACTTAGTAATGTGACATAGGCTTAACTGATTTCAGTAACTTATAATCACCATATCTCATTTAAATCGTATTCTACCCGCATACGTGCAACTAACTTGTATGCCCATCAGCCGGCAAGTATAAATATAAATAAATAGTCTATCGCAGATCAGAATATTGAGTCTAGAGCATGTCTCTTACTAACACACTCATGTTTAACTATTTGTTCCTAGCTATCTGTCCAAAATCCATATAATTATCACTAACGTATTTAAATTCTATTTTGATAACCATTCATGTATATTAGTAGTATTACCAAATTCTATCACGGTCAAGTAAAAATGAGGTTGAGAAAATCTCCCCGTAACTAAATAAACCGTATCAAACTAACTGGAACACTAGTTGGAATTCTTCTCCACGGTATACTTTTGTTCCTTCAGTTAGCCTACTAATACAGATGCAATTGGAATTCAACTCATATGGACAACTTACCGGCATAATCGTTATCCGATTTCATAATTTAAACCAAAACTAATACCAATATTAACATTTCTACAATATTCATTATTTTAATATTTCTAAACACAAAATAATTACTGCCTATAAGTTAAGTTATTAACATGCATCGTTTTATTATTATTATTATTGTTATTATTATTATTATTATCATTATTATTATTGTAATCCCATTTTTTATAGTTCAAATAATCTTCAACCAAATTTTCATTTTAAGCGTGTTAATCATGAAAGCAGATATTTTAAGATTATTACATGTATTTTCCGACCAGATGCTGCCGTCTTTTTTATTTCTTTTTCAGCTTATCAATACCCGGAGGATCCTTATTATCCTTGGTAACCTCCGGCGCGCGACGATCCCATCCAGTTTGGTATCGAACCAACATCACGTTGATTCTGGTGGGAGAGTAGTGTAGTGGCATTGGACAATAGCCACACAATCCACAAAGCTGTGAACACGAGACTACTACTTCCACGTAAGATCTTATAGATTAGGCGGTTATATCATGACAAATCTACAATTTTAGGATTAGGTGTATTATAAGGGCAGTACTAATATCATAGTAGACCATAATTCTACACACTCACAGAAATCCATTATTACCTGAATATGTGGAACGCCAATCAACCACGTACCAAGCAAACTAGTCACTGTCACCCTACGAAATATTTTTTCCTTGTTCGCACGATTAATCATCATTTCCACCCACCTTTAAGAGCCAGAAAAATGTCATTTGGCTCTAACTTACTCATCCAGCAGTCGGGTCACTGTATATCAATCATTTCACAAATCCTCATCAAGGTCAGTGGCAGCCAACGCTCACCAATCAGTGACACCGTATAGACTACCCCATGTGGCAGTAACCAAGCTGTTTTCATGGTACCTGTTCTCATTAATATATTTCAGTAATAGCATTGTTTGTGTTGTACAGTCTTCAAAGTGGTCATAGTACCCGAATCAACTCAAAGTGCCAACCTTGAGGTGTGACTTCGGCATGAGCTGGTCGGTGATGCCATCCCCGTCCAAGACGAGTAGATCCCGGAACCATCGACGCAGTCAACCTGTGTTGGTTATCTACACTGATGAGCAAGACTTTAAATAACGCAATCTATTATGACCATCATCTGTACGATTGCATTCTAAACTTATTTTTCGTCATTTCTGTCGATATTGCGTAGGTTTGTTAATCACTGAGAAAATTTGCTGTCTTATCTTTATGGTGATTCGTGTTCAAACTTAACTAACTAGCTGAATCAACGAAAATAACCAATCAACAAAAATTATAATCGACATTCATGGTTTTTTAACAGGCATTTGTAACATTGGCAACACGGCAAGATAAAACGACCTTCGATTTGAGATTATCAATTGATTGGTAGGATCGATACCTTTAACTGGGTACATGTAGCTAGTTAGAAATTAATTGAATCCA